AAACAAATGTTTAAACAACTCTTAATTATTCAATTATAGTGCAAGTGTTAAATTTAATTATTTTTAGAAGCAATAGTTTATCCCAGGTTTCCTAAGTAGCTGTGTACAAATCATACATTGTGTACTTCAACTGTTGTGATTTGGTACTTGTTGTGTATTATTGTAAATTTTTCTTGTAGTTTTGACTGAGTATTATTACATCACTATATCCCATAGTGTGTAGAACATTCTAGGCCTTGGCCAGGCAGTAAATATGTATACAAAATGTAGTTTGAGTTAGTCATATGGAAAGACATAGTTAGCTAGATAGACCTAGATGATAGATGATTTTGAGTATAGCAATAAGGGGCATGTAGTAGCAGCTTCTAAAGTAAAATTATCACAGATTATACTGTAATAACAGAGTAGAGAAGAAATAATTTGTCTTGTCAATTGGGTTCTAAAGTAACTGAACCAACCTGTGTAGACTTTGACAAATAGAGACAATTATTTAAAGCTCTGGATACAACCGTGGTAACCAACAGTATAATGTAAGTGAAACTATCACCGACTGTATTGTAATAACAGAGCAGAGAAGAATAATTTGTCTTGTAAATTGTGTTCTAAAGTAACTGAACCTGCCTATGTGGACTTTGGCAAAAAGAGATTATTACTCAAAGCTCTGGAAGTAACTGTGTAATGAACATTTATATATATATATATATATATGTTGGACTTGTTTTAATTAATTATTTTAAAACAAGTGGACTGTGTGCTGTTTGTTTATTGTTGAAATTTATCAACAACAAGTCATAGTTACCTACTGTAAAGAATCCGGCCTATTCATACCTACATTAAAATCTGACACTGTTTCTATCTGCAGTTTGTTAATCTTGATCCAGTAATACCTTACCAATGATACACTTTACTTTTAAAAGTTAGGGTTTAAATGCCAAAACCTGGTGAAGCATTAGAAACCAACACACCTGAAAATCATATAAACTGCAGGTGATTTTTTTTCAAATTCTTCTTAATTTGTCCATCTCAGATATAAAATCATAGGTATATAAAAATAGCATTTCAAATCTATTTTGGACAACTTTTGGCATAATACATTGTATTACTGGAAGTACTTTTTGAAATACTCTAATGATAATGTTCTAATTTATTTTTAGTCTGTTAACATTAAGACTTGCAAAACCCACATAATCTGATGCCACATTTTAAAAGCACTGTATCACTATAGAACCAGGGTATTTAAAGGTCTGTTTTACACAATTTCAATACATGATTAATTCACCAAGCCCCCCCCCCCACAAACAAATAATTATAATGTTTCTAAACTATTATTTGACAAAAGCCTGTGTGCATGTGTGCTTATAACTGGCAAGCTGCTGAACTGAATGTTACAAAACCTGGTATGTATCCTTAGGATCCCTCTGGTAGTTACACAGGTGGGTCAGTAATTTGATCTAATCCCCTATGTCTTTCTCATACATTGAAGAGGTGCACAAACTAGTACATTAAGTTACCCTGAAAATTCTTGGGAAACAAGAACTACACAAATAATATTGCACACTTTGTTTCAAATGATCTTTATAAGTTTGAGTAATATTTCTGTAAGACTGTGTACAGATCACACAGAGGCTTTCCAAAACCTCTTGATCTCATTTTAAGACGGCCCAATATGAAAATCTTAAAAATTTAAGAATAAATAGGCATTTCTATAAATTTCTTACATATCTTCCTTAATCTTCATGAAAAATCTATGGATTCAATCCAACGAGTCCCAAAACCTCTTTGGCCCTCATACAGGGGCTCAAATTTCAATTTTCAAAACCTGAAAAATGTAATTTCCCTACATGTTTCTACCAATCTCTAAGAAAATTTGTTCTGTTAAACCTGAGTGTCCCCAAATACTGAGCCCTATTTACCTGGGCTTTCTTCACAATTCTTTCTAAAACCTTTTTTCTTCCTATATATTCTGTGGGATTCGTACCTACAGGTAAGCTTTCAAGTCATTTTAGCAAACATAGGAAGAGTTTAAAAATTAAATAAGTGAAGAAATGTATAAAGATACAACTGACAATTAATATATAGAGAGATCATTGTTTTGTCACTCAAACTAATCAATACAAAAAACCTTGCTATAAACTTCTCTAAAGCTGCTTTTAATATTTGTTTCTTTTCCTCAAGTGTCCATCCAAAATAATTTCTTTTTAATCAATAAAAGGTTCTCCACTATTACATGTTTTAAATTAAGCATTTGATCAGTGAACATGCAGGTAACTAAACCCTGCTTCAATGACACCATTATGCAGAGTACTGTTTCCACCAGCGTACAAACATTCTTCAATTCCTTCCTTTTGTATAGAGGCACAAACTCACAGAGGTCCATAGTTTTGACTCCATTCATACAGTAGTTAATCATTCTCTTGAATTATTTCCATTCTGATTTTATCGTTTTATCAAAATTGTTAATCTTTAGTGTTTATAAAAATGCTTTGCAAGTAACTTTAAACACCCCATTTCCCTGATGGTGTTACCCCAGTTTGCTGGATCTATCCAAAACATAATTTGATAAAACTCACTCTCAAATGAGGAGAATCTTGATTCAAGACAAGCCTGTTCACTTGTAATGACAGTAATTCTCAGTTTCTCTACAGTTTTCTCAGAAGAGTCTACACTGTTCATCAGACAGTGGTGTATTTCCTGTTTTCATTTTCTGGTGCCCTGCTTTATGTAAAGTGATCCTAAGATGCCAGGAACCTGATGTCATTTCCACCTGAAGTTTGAACTTTTTCTACAAATTTCACATTGTGTACCTGAAATTTCTTTCCTGAGTTCCTGTAAGGCATCCTTTGTTCTTTCTATCATATGCAGTATCTGACAGTATAAAATATTTTCCTTTTCAAGATGCACAGATAGAATAGAACATGTGTCCAGCACATCTTTGTGCAAGCAACATTTTGACAGAAAATATAAAGTTTTCATCTTTTTTTCTAAAAGTCCATGAAAGTTAACATTTTCCTACACTGAAAATGTATAGATAATTACCCTACACCAATCATACTACTCCATCTAGAAACTAAAACACTGGCATATCAGTGGGGAGGAAGGGTGGGAAATAGGTGAGGGAGGTAAGTACTTATTGGAAATGCATTTTCAGTGTAGGAAAATGTTAACTTCCAAACCAGTACTACCTTTGATACCCAAAGCTAGAATCCCACATTGAAAATGTGGAGGGGCCAGTGAAAGCATGACAGTTTCAAGTAAGCACATAACAACCACATAAAAGCAACAGGTCTGCCAAAAGAAGAAAGAAAGGCACGCCTGTGGGCAATGTTCCCTCTTAATTTTAACAATTCATGTGTTCAATATCAAGGCAACATGTGGATGCATTCTACCAGTTTTTTTTTATGGGGGGGAGGATATTTTTAGACCACCAACCCTATTGGATCATTAAGTCGCTTTGCAATGCTACTAGTTGGTTATTTGGGTGTTAGGCTTATTGACTGCCAGGTTCATTAAGGCCATTAACATGTTGAGATTCCTCACCATTGCTGAGGATATGCATGGCTGGAATAATGAAATGTGTGGCACTTGATTGTTTGTTGTGTGGCTGCACAGCTTAGAGGGAACACTGCCTGTGGGGTACAGCACTACTTCTAGTAAAGGTTATGCTCTTTGCCCAGTAATAAAAGAGTAATCTATATAGGGTGGAATGTACGAGGTAGGCACCTTATTCTCAAGAAGAAGATGTACAGCACTTTGCTTCGGAGCAGTGCAATATAACTATGATAACAATAAGAGTGGACATGTGGAAATGTCTAGTATGTAACTGACAATGGGCCCAAAGAATTATGTGCCAAACAAGAGTCCTGGGGCACACTAGAGCAAGTCCATTGATTTCTTGTTGAAGAGATTGTTAGCAACAAGAGCAAGTCCATTGATTTCTTGTTGAAGAGATTGTTAACAACAAGAGCAATCATCTCCTTCCAAAAAAAAAAAAACCAGGGGAAGCACCATAAATAAGTAGTGAGATAAAATTTTGTCTGATAATTTGGAAACAGTCCATTGTCAACAGCTAGTGAATTGTTCATCCACATATGTATTAAGTCATAGTATGTGATACAGGAATAATTAGTCATAGTAAAGTGCCAGATAATGTGTTATAGGCATAAGTGACTTGGGCTAAAGGACCATAAACTGTATAGGCTATGTTTGGTCTGCTCTGGCAAAAAACACAGAGGGGAAGCACCTTGGGATACGTCAAATTATGCCAAGTGCTGTCCATCTGGGCAAAAATAACACCAGAAGTGGCTTGCGTAAGATACAGAGATTAATAAGTGTAGTCCACCATGCAAAACCAAGAGGGAAGTGTCTTGGGTATTTTCAAGATATTTAACAAATTTTCAAGACAAAGGAAGGAGGATGTTGGCTTAAGAACTATTGAGGTAAGGGTTTCTCGTTCTGTTTAACATCACTTCATAATTATTAGATAAAAGGGTGGAGGTTGGGAGTCTTGGAGAAATATAGGGTTGTCTATTTATACTATAACTTCATATAAGATTATGAATATTTTTTGCTTTTTATAGCTCATAATATCAAAACTAAGGGTGGAAGTTGGGAGTTTTAGGGTATTTTGATTATACTGTAAGGTTATATCTAAACAGTGCTCAAACTGGAGAGTAACTCCCACTTCTCTAATTTGGCATTTTGCATACCCCCACTTCTTGTGCAGCTTAAGAATTACAAACAGTGAAAAACACTATCATCATTTTATGAGCAAGCATACCCACTCTTCAAGCACTGTATCTAAATATTAAGGGTAACTGCCTTCCACAACTGGCTGCAGACAGTGAAAAGCAGAAGGACTAGGAGATGAGACTTAGTGGGTTCAAGCACTCAACTTCCAACCCTTAACTAGTTGCTGGCTAGTTTGACATTGGTGTCTGGATCTTATCTGATTGATAGGATATCTCCACGTCGTTTTGATGCTGTGACCACAGACATTATCCATTATGACTTAAAAGTTAATGACAACGAGAACTGGTAACAGAATAATAATTTTGATTTATCAGTCCCATTATAATGTTGTTTTTGTTTTGTATACATTATATAAATATATATACGTGTGTGCGTGTCAACTGAATTTCTGAAGTTCTAACAGTAAGACTGAAATTTACGTAAATTTCACGAAGACTCGGAATAGAGCTAGAGTTACTTGACACATACCGAGTCGGTGAGTGTGGCATAGCCCAATCATTTCGTTTCTATCGTATTACTCTAGACTGCCTAACAGTATAGTGCTGAAGAATCCGTTTTAACATATTACCATATTTTATAGAAACAATATTCCATATCAAATAATTAACTCAATCACACTTTCATTAAAATATTCTATTGCTGAGGTTTTAAAACCTTACCACGCCTTGAGATATGTTCGCTGACATTTTTGATGATTACTGGCCACATGATAAGTGCCATCTAGCGTCATTCATGTTGCGTCTAGATGCCACTGGTAAATATTAGAAACACTTCTTAATGTGATTCTTGCATTACCTGATTTACTGCTTTTTTTCATGTGAGTAAATTTTCCTATTGAAAATTTTAGATTTTAACATGTTAATCCATATTTTTTTATTGTAGAGTGAGTTTCAGTGCTCTAATGTATTTCGTAAGACATTTTTGTATAACAATTGTTAACCGCTGCTTGAGCTCTTTCAAATCTTCGCACTACTACTTCTAACTTGGCAGGTATTTTGGTTCTAAAATCTAACAAACCTCATAGGGGCTTGAGAAACAACCTGCAGCGCTCAAGAACGCCTGTTTCTCTTCGTCTACTCGCGAACTTTAGGTCTAACCCTTTAGTGTGAATGGTAATTTAGAGCTATCTATCGGAAGTTGAAAGCCGTTTGGGCTTAAGAAGAATTGAAATTATTTGGTACTTGACTTTTGACCAGTGCCCGTGTCTAAAAGGAAATCACTTAGGTAATAAACATACTATATAATATATCGTGAAATAGACTTTACATGGTAATCGTCTTTTGAAATGATATTATTAAAATTATCAATCATATTAATTAAGATATGATTAGCATTTGATCCATGAGGCAAAGATGACTGCAAGTGAAGATAATTTTTATGTCTGAAAATTACATTCGGGAGCGCGTTTGTAATACCGTAATGCTAGTTTTACAAAACGTTTTCTTCATGTGTGGTATGTCTGATAGTGAGTTCAGGTAATTGGGAGGGGAATAATTCAGGAGTCTATTAATGTAAGTCTTCAAAACGCGTAACCGTTTTACACATACACAAATATATATATATATTGTTGCGTCATCGAGATGACGTGACTATTCTCACGCCCTCTAGTTTCTAGAACTATCCCGTATCTTGGCGAATGCTCTAGTATTTACCAGATAGGGTAGGCTGGTATATATAAGAGGGGACAACGTGACGCGGTATTGTAATGTGTGTGTAGACAGTGAGTAATTTAACTGCAGTCAGAAGTATTATTG